GTTAGGCATTTTTGAGGCTCCAATTCAGACAAGGCTGGCAAATTCAATCCACATCAACATCCTTGCAGTAATAAGCAATAACATCATAGAATAATAAACTGACTGACATGTTTAAATTATCAATATTCCACATCATGATTTCTATGAAGATTACCCAGTGGGAGATCAACAAAACCTAAAAATCTTTTTATTTCCATATTTAGTAGGATTAACAAAGACAACAGATGATAATCTTTACTTCATGTACAAGTCACTCTTTTTTTTATTGTCGATTTAATATTAGTTCTTAGCCAATCAGATCAGATAACATTTTCGTATATTTTTGGGGGCTTTTTTAAGCAAGACAATTCCGTCAATCATAAATCTCATCAAAAGAATGAAAAAATCAGTAGTAAAAGTTATACAGTAATGGATGCCTCCGAAGAGAAGTACCACCCCGTGTTTCGAAAAGAGTAAGTCTGCTCTGCTTCATGTTGACTACTATATAATATGTCAACATCACGAGATACAACCAGATCATGCCTGACCAAACAAATCAGCCAAAATGCCAGTTTTTGCCATCCAACGGTTAGGGAGCCATGGTGGCTAAGTGAGTTAGAAGCTTGCTCGCTATTGTGAAGGTCCAGGTTTAAATCCCGGCATAGGTCAAGATAATACCTTCAGATTTTTCAACCCGGTCAGTGATGCAGGTAAGAGGGACTGACATGAAAAAAGCCTCAAGCTGTTTGGATGGGACAATAAACCAAGGACTCGTGTTCTACAGGCTATGCACGTTAACAATCCCTCGACATTTGGAAAACAAAAAAGAGTAGGCTAATACCGCTGTCCTGGCAAAATGTCCCTCATTGCATCCTGCATGGCGTTGTCTTTCTTCATCAGCTCACATGGTGCAGAAAAGTAGGATGTAAAACTCCATTCATTTCATTTTTTTCTATCCTTGGGCATTGATATTTCTTAGACTGAGATAAGAATCAATATTTACCATTAGTTTTGATTTTCGTGAAACTAATTCTTAAATTTACTTAAACTTAAAAACTAGCACAAATTTCAAAAATTGCATAAAATTGCCAGAATTGGTAAGCATTTCTTTCATTGATTAAATATATTTTTAATAGTTATTCCCTTTTTCATGCCAATTTTATTTCCAAATGCCAAATGAAGAAACACAGCCTTCAATTTGTATTTAATCAAAATAACTGAAACAGATTCAAACCCTTGGGCGCTGGAATCTTAAAATAATAAATAGAATCTCGATAAGATTTGATTCAGTACAATAAAAGAGATTGAAGCAATATAAAATATCACAGATTGTTCATGATAAATATATTAATTAAGTGTACTCAGATTGACCATCTCAGCTTGACGGATTTGCACTGACCTGAAGAAACAGCTCAACACACCGCACACCAATGTGTAAAATAATTAAAATGATGCAAACTGATTTCAACACAGTGGCAAGGAGCTTGGCAAGCAACAATGAACTCTGCAAGTAGCAAGGAACTTGGCGAGCAGCAAGGAATTTGGCAAGTGGCAAGGAACTTAGCAAATAGCAAGAAACTTGGCGAGCAGCAAGGATTTTGGCAAGTGGCAAGGAACTTGGCAAGCAGCTATGAACTTGGCAAGCAGCAATGAACTTGGCAAGTAGCAAGGAACTTGGCAAGCAGCAAGGAATTTGGCAAGTGGCAAGGAATTTGGCAAGTGGCAAGGAATTTGGCAAGTAGCAAGGAACTTGGCGAGCAGCAAGGATTTTGGCAAGCAGCAATGAACTTGGCAAGCAGCAATGAACTTGGCAAGCAGCAATGAACTTGGCAAGCAGCAATGAAATTGGCAAGCAGCAAAGAATTTGGCAAGTAGCAAGGAACTTGGCAAGCAGCATGGAACTTGCCAAGTATCAAGGAACTTGGCAAGTAGCAAGGAACTTGGCAAGCAGCAAGGAACTTGGCAAGTAGTATGGAATTTGGCAAGTGGCAAGGAACTTAGCAAGTAGCAAAGAATTTGGCAAGTAGCAAGGAACTTGGCAAGCAGCAAGGATTTTGGCAAGTGGCAAGGAACTTGGCAGGCAGCAATTAACTTGGCAAGCAGCAATGAATTTGGCAAGTGGCAAGGAACTTAGCAAGTAGCAAAGAATTTGGCAAGTGGCAAGGAACTTGGCAAGCAGCAATGAACTTGGCAAGCAGCAACGATTTTGGCAAGTAGTAAGGAACTTGACAAATCGTAAGGAACATGTCAAGCTATAAAGAATTTGGCACGCAGCAAGGAATTTGTTTCCATTACCATCTTACATTATCAAATTGGAATATTTTGTATTCATGTCATAGCAGCAAATGTCACATGCAAAGCACACCATTCTTACTCAAATCGAAAATCTGATGGTACTTCTCTTTGGATGAATCCACTACTATACAACTTTTACTCATGATTTTGACATTCTGGTGAAGAGATTTTGATTAACGGAATTGACTTGCTTGTACAGATTTTTATTTGTAAAACTAAATTTACATGCCAATAATCTCCTAATCTTTTATATTTACAAAAGTTCCTGATACACGCAAAATTCTGGAATCTGAAGACTGCCATTTCCAAAAACAGGAAATTGGTCAAGTTCAAGTACAGGTCACATGTCAGCAGAAACAAGAAGACTAAATAAATCATCAGTAAACATTCTAATCTTCCCCTTTCAACCAGTGGAATTAGAATCAGACCAAACTGACGCTCAGTTTTTTTATAAGCTTTTATCTTTGATATGGCCACTTTAGTTAAGGTATCTTGAACGTAACCTTTTGATCTTACCTGATAAACACTGCATCACAAAATGTCAGTGCTGGAGAGGGTACAAATTTGATTGGTTAAAGCAGGTGTTTGACATACAACAATGGATTAGAAACAAAAATGAAAGACTCCCTCGTTAAACAATAATGTATATGTACAATATGCATAGGCCTTACATATTGAACAAAATATATTGTATTGTATTGTAAAATATCAAAGCTTAGATTGAAGTTTGCATTTTTAAAGCTAGTGGTTTCAGGTAATACAACCTGACAGTTGATCACAGACTGCCACTGAAATTCATTAGCCTATTTCAATTTCAACTTTACAATTTTTATCAACACAGATCTATATTAAAACCCACACATTATTTCTTCATCAGTCAAGTTATCAATTTTACCCTTTCATAAAATAAAACAGATGTCACAAATGTGAGCAGACTGTCCTTTCAATACAACACAAACAATTTAAAACAACACTGACTGTATACCATGACGTGGTAGGCCAAAGTCAAGGTGAACTGGACATTTCTAACACATCAAACAATTGCCACACCTTATCTATTTACTAACTATAATACATTTGATTTCTGGAAATAAAGTTTAATATGGTCTGATTTAATGATGGGTTTCCTTATTTTTTACTGTCAAATTAAGCATACACTATTTGATTAATTAGTATTCTTAATCATCTCATTATGTTCTTATTGCATATAGTTTGACCTTTCTTGATCGGTCACTCATTGGAATTCTGCTGGCAATTCTCTTCTAATTTAGCTAATTATGAATTTATTATGGATATGTGAGACAAACTGGAATTTTTCCAAGTCAGTAGAACACCTCTGCTTTCTATTCATAAAAGTATTAGCATTTTCATAAATAAAAATAAGGGAACCCATCTTTAAGGTTATAAATGAAACATCAGGTTGCAAAGGAACTGTCATTTCAATAAAACATTTTAAACATTTTAATATACGTCAAGGTTGCAGAAGAAAATGGTCTACTTTCAGTTTACAATTAAAACTCCAGGTTGCAGAAGAACTGTCTTTGTAAAAAAGGGAAAATTAAACAAGGGAAAACACATATATAATATTAAGACATTCTATCTTTTATCCAAACATCTGTTTAGGGAATAAAGTATTCAATAGTCTGATTTAATTTACAAATGAAACATCAGGTTGTAGAGGAACTGTCGGTTCAATCGAACAGGAAATTGAATGAGCGAAAACACATGTGTCAGCAGTAAAAATATGACATTCTACATTAGAAATGAAATGAAATGAATCCTTTCTACCAGCTAGTCCCTGGCCAAACATCTTGGCTTGATCTTTCCTAGATTATCCGTACTCATTTATAGCTAGGTTGACTGGAATAATGAGAGAAGACAGTGGCGTAGCAAGAAAATGTAACAACAAAACTTATTTGCCAAATGAAATTTTGATATTGGAGTGATGCTGTCATGCGTGAAGCAGACTATGCTTACTCTTTTCGAATCTCTTAATGGTATTTATAGTATTCTTCCCAATTTTGTCATGCTTTGGGCATGATTTTTGGTTTTGTTTGGACAGACTTTTATTATATTTACCAGGAATGTCAATTTTTGATATAAAATTATCTGAACACCAAGGAAAACTCAGACTTAATTACTCTTCAGTCAAGCATCTACGGCCTTATGGACAGTGACCTTTCAATTTTCAACTATGTCTGGTAGTGGAAGACTGTGATTATATATAACTAACCAATTACAGCTTAGCCACTATCATCCAGTCTAACTGACACAGCTACAATCCTCATCAAAGACAGAAGAAGTCTGGGTGTCATAGACTAATTACAGGTTGACTTGTAGACCTTTCTGTCATTTTACATCATACTAGTTGACATAATAACAAGTTTTATAGAAAATCTCTGATAATTGTATCAGGGTTGGGAAAATACCAGCACTTATTCATAATCAATTCCACACAGAGTAAATTACAGTATTTACCAGGAGACACTGGGAAATCAAGGCTAGTTAAGATGTGAAGACAATGGTGTAGAGCACAGCAAAATTGCCAGACATTGTGAAGATGTGTCTAGGTATAAGACAAAGTTTGTAATAGCTTGACAAAGTGAAGATAAGTCAAGGTATAAGTAAGAAGTTTGTAATAGCTTGACATTGTGAAGATGTTGTAGTCAAGGTATAAGTACAAAGTTTGTAATATCTTGACATTGTGAAGATGAAGATAAACTCACCATCTTCTGTAGGCTGGACATTTTCTATTTTTACGTGTAAATTCTGTAGCGGATCATAATCTACATCTTCTCCCAGATCATCCTTGATACAAAACTTTACTTCATACAGATGTTTAAACTGTAGAAAGCCCAGATGTACATCCACTTGATTGTCTCCCCCTGACTTGACGATTATTTCTAAATCATGTTCCTGCACTTGCTCAGCCGGGAAATGAACATGACCTTCTGAATCAGCTTGATGATGTCCTTCTGAAAGATAAAATGAAATTGTGAAATTTATGATTGATATACTTCCTCATGAAAATTTAATTAGCTGATACCAATGTACTGCCAACAGTTTGGATCATTAGTACTTGTGTTTTCATATTTTTTCTGGAAGATAACTAGAAAATTGTGAATACTTTCCAGAATTAAAATCAAACTTAAGTCAATGACGGCACGTTATTCTTTCCTGACCTGTATTATAACAATAATGGCAACAACTGCATGTAATAATACTAATAGCTCTGAAATGACGACTATCACTAATAAAGTATAGAAATATTATCTTACTATGATGATGGTGGTGTTTTTTATGTAAAGCTCCATTACTGTTATTACAATCCATGCTTTCTTCACTCGCCATCTTCGATGATATCTGGATTAATTCTGGATTCAAAATTTTAAATTTCCACTAGAGATGACACAAAAATTCACTTTTTCCTAATCAATTGTTTTTTTTTCAGTGCTTACTACAAGTAATTCTTCACTATTTTTTTACAAGGTGAGATAGTCAACAAAAACTTCTCATAAAAGCACTGGCTGAGGTCATAAAGGCAATATTATAGTATCAACTGTAAGGTTTCCTCATCCAAACTTACTATAGAAATCTTCGTGCAACAGTCTGATAATAAAGGCACTGTTCTAACAGTAGATATATCAATACAGTTCTACTAATTCTTGATATTATATACAAACCTGGAATATAAGATAGCTCAATATTAATGATAATCACAATACACTGCTGTCAATGATTGAATGAAACTAGTTGTCTCTTGAACCATCTTCACAATGATCCCTTGACAGTTGGAAATCGAAATAGAGTAGGCTAATGCAGCTGTCCACGTAAATTACCCTCACTGTACAATGCGTGGCGTGTAAAGTGCAGAAAAGTAGGATGTAAATCTCATTTAATTTTTTGTCAAATTAATGCAAGCTTTGTATTTGTCTTATACCTTGACTGCAATAGTCACATTTCTTGTATGATGGAAGTTTGTAAATAAAGTGATTTGCTTTGATTGGATTATACAACTGGCGAATACAGGCAATCAGAGGCTTCAACAGAAAATCTGTGAGCACTTTTTGATTTTCAATAGGGTTTTCAATAGGGTTCATCCTTGGGTGATAATAAACACACCAAATTTCGTCAAACTAGTTCAATAATTGATCCTGTTGGAGTGCTTACAAGCAATTGTGGATGGAAGGACTGATGGACATGGATGACGGTAATATTTCATTTGGGCGTATACAAATTATTAATAAAACTTAAAATATTACAGACTATGATGAGACAGGACTGAATCTCAATTTTTCTTTTGATGAAGCTAACAGTTACTGATTTCAAAGAAAATCTAATGATGGAATTTTTAAAATATTAACATCAAATATTCATGCCAAAAAATCTTAATTACATTTTCCTCGTTAAAATCTGCAAGTTTTAATTTAATTAGAACTATTTTTCTGAATATTTCATGTTATCTACCTTTCTGCATATTCATCTTTCATTTTTAGTTAAAGAAATCTTAGAAAATCACGTGCAGATCCTGAAATCGAAAGTAAAATGAATCAACGGATGATGATGCTCTATCTTGCAGACGATAAAAATATTGGTGATGAATATCAAAGTGGTTTGATATTATAAATCCTGTCAGCAACACGATAATCTCACTAAAGCGCGGGCACATGAGAGATTTTATTCACCATTCTAAACGGTGACAAAAATCTTCTACTATGACTGTTAGTGTGCTTGCACCATTAGAATCTCACTTATTGTAAATTCACTGAGTTTAACTGATCAATCAAAAAGAAATCTAAAGCAATTATAACCATTCTGTAACATTGATTCTCAATACATCCTAACTAACACTGACCCTAACAATAGATAACTTCGGCGCAATACCATGTAGAGGTTCTCGGTGTCGCACCTGTGAACATATCCATATGTCTCATTATTTTCAAAATAAAAAAAACGGAAAAATATTTGAAATTAAAGAACATCTCACGTGTACGGATAAAAATATCATTTACCTTATTTCGTGTAAAAAATGTGACAAACAATACGTCGGCGAAACCCTGAACGCGTTGCGAACTCGATTTAGCGGCCATCGCTTTGATATAATTCATAGCAAAAATAGACCAATTTCTCATCATTTTAATTTACCTGACCATTCCATTGAAGACCTTCTTATCATGCCTATTGAATCAATTCCTGACTCTGATCTTATCAAACCAAAAACCAAACGATTACAGAGAGAAAGCTACTGGATGGACCAACTCCAAACAGTGGCTCCAAATGGACTTAACATCCAGCATGATAATCAAATGATTCCATTTGTTGCCACCTTTAATCATACAGCTCCCAAAACCTCATCCATCATCAAACAGTATTACAGTGAATTACAGAACAGATTTCCGAATGTATATACCAAACGCCTATAAGCGCAATAAAAACCTTAGTAATTTTCTGGTCCGTGGTAAACTCGATCCCATTGAATCCAATAATACTTGACCCCCCTCTCTATTTTCTAGCTCATTAAGTATAATATATTCTAATCCTTATATATAGATGTTTATCTTTTCAGAACCTATTCATACTCTCTTGTTTAGAACTGGTAACAAGAAAACTTTCATATTATAGACTTTTGTTTATTGTAGATTACTCTGGTTGTTTTTTTAACTTAATACTAACTATGCTAACTTCACCTTATCTTGTATTGAACATTTATCTCTTTATTTGTGACCTTGGCCAGTGCTTTACATAGAAGTTTTTAGGAACTTCTTCACTCTTAACACTAACCCTAACACTGATCTTAACACTGACCCTAACACTGACCTTAACACTGACCTTAACACTGACCCTAACACTGACCTTAACACTGACCTTAACACTGACCTTAACACTGACCCTAACACTGACCTTAACACTGACCTTAACACTGACCCTAACACTGACCCTAACACTGACCTAAACACTGACCCTAACACTGACCTTAACACTGACCTTAACACTGACCCTAACACTGACCTAAACACTGACCCTAAGACTGACCTTAACACTGACCTTAACACTGACCCTAACACTGACCTAAACACTGACCCTAAGACTGACCTTAACACTGACCCTAAGACTGACCTTAACACTCACCCTGATTTAATAAATCACTATCTACTTCTATTCCCACAGCTTGTATGTAAGTTATAGTCATACTACTAATTCAATATATAGTCATTTCAATTAGATTGTCCTTTCTGTATTCCCTGGGTAGTTCCCTGTAACTACTAAATAGAAGTTCATTCCAGTATCCATATATCTCTCATCTATTGACAGTTCTATAGAATTTGACTGATCAGGGACCTTATTCTTGAAAACTTTTAGTGTTTTTAGTGTTCAATTCATCTAATTGGTCAATCAGTAAAATTGATTTTAAATTAGGGTTAAATGAACCAATCAGATTAGAGTATTTGTGGGTAAATCTTGAAAATAATTCTAACTGTATAACAGTAGTGATCAATAGTTCTAATTAGAGACGGCCACAGTGTATTTGTGAGTTAACCTGAAGGTCAAGGGTTCTTCTATCAGAGCTGATCATAGTAGCAATTATTCACAGATTTTCTCTCTCTCATTGATGCAGATCCCAAATAATACCTTTGGATTTTTTCAATGATGATAGATAAAGAGTAAACTAATATTGCTTTCCTGGATAAATTTCTCTCATTGAACACTGCATGGTTACCAGTTTACATTGATCCAACCCAGTGAAGAAAGGTGCAGTAGAATGTAAAACTCTATTACTTGCCGTATATTTCTGAATAAAATGCACAGTTTTTTTTTACCTCAAATGGGTAAATGGATTTTTCTAGATTTTGATGGGGTAAGGAAGGGATGCGCATTATACACACTTGCGCATTATATACGGAAACATACAGTATTCCATGTGTTTTCAACCTTTTTCTTTCTTTTACCCCCTTCAGGATCCTCGATCGAATGCATCACCCCCATTCCCCATATAAATCTTTGTAACAGTAGTCCCTCTTTCCCCTATACACAAGGCGCAGAAGAGTAGGACGTAAAACTCCATTCATTTCATTTCTTTCCCCTATAAATCCTTACTATTACCTCCCTTTCCCCTATAAATCCTTATTATTATCTCCCTTTACCCTATAAATCCTTACTATTATCTCCCTTTCCCCTATAAATACTTACTATTACCTCCCTTTCCCCTATGAATACTTACTATTACCCGCCTTTCCCCTATAAATCCTTACTATTATCTCCCTTTTCCCTATAAATACTTACTATTATCTCCCTTTCCCATATAAATACTTACTATTACCCCCCTTTCCCCTATTTAAATCCTAACTATTATCTCCCTTTCCCCTATAAATCCTTACTATTATCTCCCTTTCCCCTATAAATACTTACTATTACCCCCCTTTCCCCTATAAATCCTTACTATTACCCCCCTTTCCCCTATATATACTTACTATTATCTCCCTTTCCCCTATAAATACTTACTATTACCCCCCTTTCCCCTATAAATCCTTACTATTATCTCCCTTTCCCCTATAAATACTTACTATTACCTCCCTTTCCCCTATAAATACTTACTATTATCTCCCTTTCCCCTAGAAATCCTTACTATTACAGGTTTTACCAGCAATCTTTTTCATATCAGAGAATATAGCCTGACTGAATAGACTGACTAAATTATAACTGTCTAAAAGATTTACACTGGACTACAAAGCGCCTCATTACTTCTCAAAAAATTGAAAATTAGCCCCTCAGGAGGCAATTACCACCCACAGTGAAAACCCCTTATTTATTCAATTCAATAAATCACTATCTTGTTGAATTCTCAGTAGTTCTGTGTTAATAGTAGTAAATCTGTCTCAGTCTTGTCAATATTCACTGGTATACAATCTAATCAATTACTGAGCTGACAATGGAAATGACCATCATATATTATTCTCAATTCTAACTGTCAGTAGCTGAATCAATTCTTTATTTTCCTACATATAAAAACTTGGTTTCGTCTTTCATCCTCTCATTCTTTGTTCACCATTCTATCACATTATGCTGACAGTGGAAGTACTTGCCATCAATATTTAAGTTCAAACCACCAATTTCTCAATCTAGTTAATTTCCTCTGACATTTTATGACGCAAAACTTACCCATGAAATTAAGAATTTTGGCATGTTTTAAATTTAGTATTTACAGGATTTCTCAATTATATTATTTCGATTATTAATAGATTACTGATCGGTAGCTTACCATCAATAATTGATCTCAATGCTGTAATCGATGCCCAGCCCTTGTGCTTGCCTTATAGCTCTCAGTCCTAGCTGTCAGTAACTCAACCAACTAACCAATTCTCACTTTCCAATTGGTTTCCTCTAAAATACCAAAGCTTTGTTTGAAAGGTTTTAATCAAGAACGAAAAGAATCAATGGTTCAGGTGGTGGCTTTCATTTTCCTCCCAGCTTGTGGACCTCGCTTCAGTGGTTCCAGGCCCCTGTCCCTACATGTTGGGCAAATTGGCAGCAAAATTTTGTACTGGGTCTTTAATGCTGGGCCAACTTTTCCTGCATTTGATCCACAATGACAGCAGACTGTGAGGGATCCCTTCCTGGAACTGTAAAAGGCCCATTCAACAGGACTGGCACACGATATCCCAAGCCTTGAGAAGACAACCCCATCCAAGGCATTTCACCAGAAACTTCAACCAACAAACCTGTCGATCCCGATGTGTCACGGCCCTCCGTATCAAGCGTGTAATCGTTCACTAACTTGTTGAACATCGAACACGGCAGAGTGTCAATGGCAGGAGTGCCTTGTGGTCGCTGCTGTCATCAGATATACTGGCTTTGACTGCCATGCTTAACAACTTATTACTTGTCAAATTCGCCATCACCGCTTACTTTCTCACTTCCTCCCTCATGTTTTCAGTGGCCATGACCAGATGGGGAAGGCACCCCGTCATCGAACGGGAGCCATGCAAATGAGAATTCCCGTATTCCCATTCTTGTCCAATCAAAACGCGCATAACTGTTATCAGTCATGAGATAAACGATGGAGTTAGAATGGCATATTCAGCATGGTAAACACTGGTCATAGATTACAATAAAATTATAAGAAATGGTCATAATTTGGCAGTAGCAATACATGGATTTAGTCTGTACGGAAATAGGTGGACTTTTTTTACCTTCTCATGCAGGGGGATACTTACGCATAATATTTTTTTTAGTGAAAAACTCCCACACGGCACTTTTTACATTATTTCAAAACGACCCAACCGGGAAATCCGCAACAAAGATATTTTTAAGGTTGGCCTTAACTGTTATAAACTCAATGCCTTTATTTCCCCCTATCAATAATAATTTCAAGAGGCCAGATTCAGAGTTCGGGAAGTTTCAGAATGGTCAACCGTTTCAATAACATCTTTAAGAGAGTGTCAACAAGTTACAGACTAGGGTCTTACATGCGATTTTCTACTTATTTTATCAATAAATAATATCAACTTGTCATGCTTTTATTTACCAAGTTCTATGGCTCCACTGTTTATTAATAATGACTTATTACTAGCTTTCAGAACATTAATTAACTCCCTTGATAGACTTAGACTGCTCTACAATGATTTATAACCAATTGGATATAGAGTTAACGCTGTAAGTTGAGCTGTCACGTGAAGTCTATTGTTTCATGTTATTTATTAATTTCAGTTAATCAAGTTTGCTTTTAATTCCATGTAACTAATTTTCTTATTTTACTATTTGTATTTAGGAGCTGTGAAATTTAATCCAATTGCAAAAAATCTTAACTACATACAGAGAGCATGGGGTCTCGTATCTCTTGAATAAAAAGTATTTATTTAATATCAATTCTGATAGACTGTATCCAGGGCCTCATACACTTCTCTCATTTGAATATCAAGATACATTTTCCTTGACTCTCTGATCTCCATCATTCTCAGGGGGAATTCAGATACAAAATAAATACTGTGTTACTTGGAGATTAAAATGTTGCAATACATTGCATTGCCCCCTTTTTATTCAGGCCTGTCTACAGATTCGATATATATGTAGAATTAGATCGTGAAATTCCTAATTTGAAGTATTTTTAAAGGAATTATGCGATATTTGTACATTTCTAGTGCTTCTGAAGACTATTTACATATATTCAAGACTGAAATCAACCCCTGAAAATGGCGAACCTGTCCCTTTAAAAAATCAGACTGCCCCTTTAAAACTGATGTCTCCTGTAAGACTATATTATAATATCATATCTTGAATAACATGCAATTTACATTCAGTTATCATATCATACAACTTAGTGAGGCAAAAATTCGGTTTCTTCACCAGACGTTATACTTTTCATACCGGTACAATAAATTATATATCAGTAACAGATTCCGGTATTAAAGCAGTAATATTCAGAGTTACATCTCTGCTGATTTACCAAATATTGTGTTAAGGGAAATGAGAACAACTTATTACAAAAATATCAAGCTATTACAGAAAGTCTGTGAACACAAAGCCCTTCTACTGTTTTCTGTCAAGGGCTCTGATTGGATGTATTTGTTAGCATACAATCCAATGAAATCACTGCATTCATTACATGGATAGTTTTTGTTGTAGTCAAGGTATTAGTATGAGGTTCTCAATAGACTGACTTTCACAGAATCATTCAAATTGAACCAATCCAACTACTACGGCTACCAACAACTACCTAGTCTGCGATATCAGCATCCGTTGGAAGCAAACGTTAACTTGTCATCCACCAACAACTACCTAGTTTGCGATATCAGCATCCGTTGGAAGCAAACATTAACTTGTCATCCACATCAGCATCCACTGGAAGCAAACGTTAACTTGTCATCTACCAACAACCACCTAGTCTGCGATATCAGCATCCGCTGTCGAGAAAGCCAACGTTAACTTGTCATCTACCAACAACCACCTAGTCTGCGATATCAGCATCCGCTGTCGAGAAAGCGAACTTGTCATCTACCAACAACTACCTAGTTTGTGATGTCAGCATCCGCTGGAAGCGAACGTTAACTTGTCAACTACCAACCAACCCACCTTGACATTGTGAGGATGAGATCAGAAGTAAGATCTATTAATTTCAAAGTGCTAATTAGTAAATGTCTACACACCCAACTTTGAAATAAATCATACACTTATTTTATATTGTCTCTTCAATAC